TCTCCCAGCGCAGGTGTGTGTGTGTGTGTGTGTGTGAGAGCGCTCGTCTCCCAGCGCAGGTGTGTGTGTGTGTGAGCCCTCGTCTCCCAGCGCAGGTGTGTGTGTGTGTGTGTGGGTGTGAGCCCTCGTCTCCCAGCGCAGGTGTGTGTGTGTGTGAGCCCTCGTCTCCCAGCGCAGGTGTGTGTGTGTGTGTGTGTGTGAGCCCTCGTCTCCCAGCGCAGGTGTGTGTGTGTGTGTGTGTGAGCCCTCGTCTCCCAGCGCAGGTGTGTGTGTGTGTGTGTGTGTGTGAGCCCTCGTCTCCCAGCGCAGGTGTGTGTGTGTGTGTGTGTGAGCCCTCGTCTCCCAGCGCAGGTGTGTGTGTGTGTGAGCCCTCGTCTCCCAGCGCAGGTGTGTGTGTGTGTGTGTGTGTGTGTGTGAGCCCTCGTCTCCCAGCGCAGGTGTGTGTGTGTGTGTGTGTGTGTGTGTGAGCCCTCGTCTCCCAGCGCAGGTGTGTGTGTGTGTGTGTGTGTGTGTGTGTGTGTGTGTGTGTGTGTGTGTGAGCCCTCGTCTCCCAGCGCAGGTGTGTGTGTGTGTGTGTGTGTGAGCCCTCGTCTCCCAGCGCAGGTGTGTGTGTGTGTGAGCCCTCGTCTCCCAGCGCAGGTGTGTGTGTGTGTGTGTGTGTGTGTGAGCCCTCGTCTCCCAGCGCAGGTGTGTGTGTGTGTGTGTGTGTGTGTGAGCCCTCGTCTCCCAGCGCAGGTGTGTGTGTGTGTGTGTGAGCCCTCGTCTCCCAGCGCAGGTGTGTGTGTGTGTGTGTGTGAGCCCTCGTCTCCCAGCGCAGGTGTGTGTGTGTGTGAGCCCTCGTCTCCCAGCGCAGGTGTGTGTGTGTTTGAGTGAGTGTGTGTGTTTGAGTGAGTGTGTGTGTGTGTGTGTGTGTGAACCTCTCACATTAGTGCTGTTTGTCTTTCCCACTGATGTTATTTTATCCTGGTTTGTGTTCATATTCAGTGTGATCGTGTAATGTGTGTATCAACATTACGGCGAGGAAGATGCAGGATGTCAAATTTGTCTTTGGTTAAAACTGGCATGAATTGTAAATCCCCCCCATATATATTTCAGTTAATCCCGGCATATTTCTTTCTAGTCATTTTTAGTTCTCTCTGTGACAGGATTGACCAATCATTTGGCCCGATTAAACCCCGCCCCTTTTTTACAGTCCACTGCACTCGCATTCAGATCCGTCTCCGTTTTTGAAGATAACACACACTTTCTCAACAGAATCAAGTCACCGCTTCGCAGTTCTTTTATTTTTCCGATAATCTAAGATTCTTCGGATTCATTGCGACTGTAAACGTCTCCGAGTTCACCGCTGCACTCGCTCCTGTTTCTATATTCCTCAATGATCAGTTCCAGCCGTGCTGTTTCCCAGCGGCTGGTGAAGCTGAAACTCCAGTCGTGTGTGTGTGTTGTGTAACGCTGCAGCCCAGTCTCATCCCAAGACGTCATCTGTCTGACGCTTTTGACCATACGTCAACATCCGACGTTTTAGGGTCCCCTTTAACGTCAGTTAGATGACGCTATCTAACCCTAATCCTAACCCAGACCTAAACCTACCCGCGTCATCTAACTGACGCTAAAGGGGACCCTAAAACGTCGGATGTTGACGTATGGTCAAAAGCGTCAGACAGATGACGTCTTGGGATGAGACTGTGTTAAACGCTGAGTGTGTGTGTTTAGGCTCGACACACACGGAGACAGAGGCTCGTGCAGACGGGACAGAGAGAGGAGACAGGAGAGTCCCGGGAATCAAGTCCAGCTTATCACACAACACAGGTCTGGCCGATCACAGAGGTTTGGTTGAGTGGGGTAAGTTGAGCCGCGCTCCTCACACTGAGTGCCGTCTGTCCCTCAGGTGAAGCGGATGCAGACAGCGACGTGGAGGATGAGAACGGTTACAGAAAGAAGTCCATTGATGAGGTCAGTGTCATTGGTGTTTTAAAGATGTTCACACACTGAAAGTGTTACTCGAGGAGACGCTCATATTCACTCATATACCGAATCTGGAAACGACACATGATCCGCTTTACACTGAATCAACTTCCAGCAGAACTCTGAACACAGTTCATTACACACATCATTCATACCAACAGCCCTCGTGTTTCAGTGTAAAACACTGCTGTTTAAATACAACAATCATTTACTGATGTTCACTTCACTACTGTGTGTGTGTGTGTGTGTGTGTGTGTGTGTGTGTGTGAGAGAGAGAGAGAGAGAGTAACACATGTGTCACTGCTGTGTGTGTGAGTGAGTGAGTGAGTGAGTGTGTGTGTGTGAGAAAGAGAGAGTAACACATGTGTCTCTGCTGTGTGTGTGTGTGTGTGTGTGTGTGAGAGAGAAAGAGAGAGTGAGTAACACATGTGTCTCTGCTGTGTGTGTGTGTGTGTGTGTGTGTGTGTGTGTGTGTGTGTGTGTGAGAGAGAGAGAGAGAGAGAGAGAGTAACACATGGTCTCTGCTGTGTGTGTGTGTGTGTGTGTGAGAGAGAGAGAGAGAGAGAGAGAGAGTAACACATGTGTCTCTGCTGTGTGCGTGTGTGTGTGTGTGAGTGAGTGTGTGAGTGTGTGAGAGAGAGAGAGAGAGTAACACATGTGTCTCTGCTGTGTGTGTGTGTGTGTGTGTGTGTGAGAGAGAGAGAGTAACACATGTGTCTCTGCTGTGTGTGTGTGTGTGTGTGTGAGAGAGAGAGAGAGTAACACATGTGTCTCTGCTGTGTGTGTGTGTGTGTGTGTGTGAGAGAGAGAGAGAGAGTAACACATGTGTCTCTGCTGTGTGTGTGTGTGTGTGTGTGTGTGTGTGTGAGAGAGAGAGAGAGTAACACATGTGTCTCTGCTGTGTGTGTGAGAGAGAGAGAGAGAGAGAGAGTAACACATGTGTCTCTGCTGTGTGTGTGTGTGTGTGTGTGTGTGAGAGAGAGAGAGAGAGAGAGAGAGAGAGAGTAACACATGTGTCTCTGCTGTGTGTGTGTGTGTGTGTGTGAGAGAGAGAGAGAGAGAGAGAGAGAGAGAGAGAGTAACACATGTGTCTCTGCTGTGTGTGTGTGTGTGTGTGTGTGTGTGAGAGAGAGAGAGAGAGAGAGAGAGAGAGAGAGTAACACATGTGTCTCTGCTGTGTGTGTGTGTGTGTGTGTGTGTGTGTGAGAGAGAGAGAGAGTAACACATGTGTCTCTGCTGTGTGTGTGTGTGTCTCTGCTGTGTGTGTGTGTGTGTGTGTGTCTGCAGGGGATGGCAGTAAATGAAGCGTTCGCCACAGAGGAGATGTCCAACTTAGTCAACTACGTTCAGCCTGTTAAATTCCACTCCTTCGAGGCGTGCAAAAGTAAGTCAGTCTGTTGTTACGCCACAAGATGTGTTTCGCTGTAAGATCTGTGTGTGTTACGTGTTACGGTGTGTGTTACGGTTCACGGCTGTGTTTGTTTTCCACAGAAACTGATCGAAGTTACGAAATGTCGTCGTTTGTGGAAACTAAAGCGCTGGAGCTGCTCAAGGAATCGCCGGTGGAGTTCGTCGAGTATCTTTTGCTTGTACTGAACTTTTGCCGGTCGAAGTGTAATTTTGTGTTCAATTAAAGTTTTATATAGCTTATACAACACAGATTGTTTCAAAGCAGCTTTACAGTGACAAACGGGCAAAAAACAATTCAATTATGAATCGTATAATTTCATCTATCTTCTGTAGAAAACAGTGATGTCATCATCAGCTCAGTGCAGTCAGATCAATAATACTGTTAAATATTAAGTTTCCCGACTAATGATACTGGGGGTCATATACCGGATCTCATACGGACATCAGGCTTACACAATACGCCTGATGTACATAACCCTTCATAACATATCATTAGTGGCTCTGATTTTGCTTTCTCAGATCACAAACTCAATTTTATATATAAATTTCAGTTTTAGTTTTCCAATATCTATATCACCACTGAAGAAAATGCTCACTTATCGTAAAATCAATTCTGTGAATCCAACTTCTTTCTCTGTTTCAATAAGGGCTTCTACCCTGTGTTTACTATCTGTGTAAATGCTTTTCCTCTAATACTTGAGAGGCCCGCTCCTGTTAAAACTAGACGGGATCCTTCTACCCGGGCCTCACCCTGCTTCACTCCTGAACCCCGAACGATGAAACCTGAGGGTCGCCGCCTCAGCGACATCAAGCACTGGATGTCCTCAAATGAAATAATAACATCTGAGATATTGGTGATTGGCTCGCTGCCGCAGTCAGAAGGATGGACCTGTCCTGTGATGCTGATGGAGTTCATGTTAAGCCTTCGTCATCTGTTCGTAACCTTGGTGTCTTAAGCCTAGTTCACACTACATGATTTTAAAACGTCGGGCTGAACTGTGCGGTTCACACTACATGACTTGCTCTCTGTGAAATCAGGAGTGTTCAAGTTGTTGAGCTGTTCACACCACACGACACGACGTGATTGATCCGCAACAGGAGGTAACGCACTACACCAGTTGACAACAACTCTGTCACCCAACGATTCTATTTTGTCTACAAACCATGTTTTGTCACGAAAAATCACGCGATAAAACGAACCGGAAATGATGTGAAACAGCACGCGCGCCAATACCCAGCGAAGAAGACGAAGAAGAACACAACACGCGAACATGCCTTGCTCTGATTGGCTGTAGCTCATGACATCACGTGAGCTTGAGTCGTGCGACAGCTCTGGATATCTAGCATGCTAGATATTTTTCTGGGCTCGGCGACGCGTCTGCGAGCGTCTTTGAAGCGTTGTTGGCTCTTTCATACTAACAGATTGGCGAGCGTTCATCGCCCGCTAATCTCCCGCGATTTGCACGCGATAACACCCTGACCTGTCGGCGAGCTCAACGATTTGCAAATCGGGCTAAAAATCATGTAGTGTGAACTAGGCTTTAATCGACTCAACTCTATCTTTTGGCTCTCATATTTCTTCTCTTGTTAAAAACTCTTTTTTCCATCTTCGTAATATCGCACGTCTTCGATCTTCTCTCACTTTAGCTGATGCTGGAACCTTAATTCTAGCATTGATCACATCACGTCTGGATTATTGCAATGCTCTATTTCTTGGTCTGCGATATGTGTCCTTATGGGATTTTAATGTGTGTGGGTGTGTAAATGTATTGTAATGTACAATCTAAAGCGACCTTGAGCTACGGAAAGGCGCTATATAAATAAAACTTCTTTTTCTTCTTCTTCTTCTTCTTCTTCTTCTTCTTCTTCTTCTTCTTCTTCTTCTTCTTCTTCTTCTTCTTCTTCTTCTTCTTCTTCTTCTTCTTCTTCTTCTTCTTCTTCTTCTTCTTCTTCTTCTTCTTCTTCTTCTTCTTCTTCTTCTTCTTCTTCTTCTAATGAAGCCAGCGGTGTGTGGTAGATTTTTTCTTCTTTTGCACCTGACTTAAGTCTACCTGGGTCGTCTTCTAATCGGCGTCCCTAAACGTCTTCTGATCGACGTTCAATAATATTTATACTCTAGCGCATCTCCTACTCGACGTCGATTAGGACTCCAGACAATGCCTTCGAACATGCTTTAATCACGGCCGGAGGATCTCAGACAAAACTCAGAGAGAATCCCACCAGCAAAAAGAATACAACAGTTTTTATAGAAGGAGCATGGCAGAGGTGACATGATTCATTACATAATTTCCTACAATTTGATTGGTTCTTCATATGCAAACCCTCCTGTTACTAGGTAGAAGCAAACTTTGTTTTCTTGATTGCTTTACTTTGGTACTCAAAGTCACGAGTTTATAAACCTAGACATCCGTCTAGTTTCATTTCCACTTTTGTTATATTCAGACACACACACACTGACTGAGTTTTTTTAACCAAAAGTTTTGGAAACATGTAGGATTCAAAAGCATATGAATGCTATTCCTGCAAGAAAAATAAATGTAAGTTATGATCAATTAAAAAAATCCATCACAGGCGACAGCGGCAGGAACCCAAACTCCATCAGTGACAGAATGGAGGAAAACCCTTGAGAGAAACCAGACTCAGTCGCTCAGTTCTCCTCTGGCCAACAAACCAACAAAGTCATCATTATAGAATTTTATCCTTTGTTAGAGATTCTTAACTCCTTCACACAGGTATAATAAACTACAGCTGAGCAGAATTTATCCCAAAGGAACGCGAGTCGACTCCTCGAACTACATGCCTCAAGTCTTCTGGAACGCCGGCTGTCAGCTCGTGGCTCTGAACTTCCAGACCATCGGTAGCTTCCGTTCAGTTCCTTCAGTGTGTGTCTGTGTTTCTGGCTCAGATGTGTGTGTCTGTGTGTGTCTGTATTTCTGGCTCAGATGTGTGTGTTTTTGTAAATCTCCTGCTTGACTAAAGTTTTTATCTGTCGTGCTCCTCTTTAACTCAGAGAGGACGCCTGAGACTCGACGGCTGTCAGGATGAGCTTTTCTTGCAGGAGTGTCACACTCTCCTGACCAGTGTTGGGGAAAGTTACTTTTAAAAGTAATACATTACAATATTGCTCCCAAAAAAAGTAACTAATTGCGTTACTTAGTTGAAAATTCAAATGAAAAACGAAATTTTGCATAATGCGAAAAGTAATGCGTTACGTTACTTTTGCGTTACTTTTTCTCACCTGGGCTGGGCTTGCTTGTTTGTTTTTTTAATAACAATGAAAAGTTATATTTTTGGCAAATGTTAAGGCCCTTTTACACCAAAAGTGAAATGAGTAATCCTCAGGCTGGAGGAAATGCATAGAGTACAGTGGAGATAGTGTACAGTAGAGTACAAAAGAGCACAGTAAAGGTAGTGTACATTAGAGTACAGCAGAGGTAGAGTACAGTAGAGTAAAGTAGAGGTAGTGTACAGTAGAGTACAGTAGAGTACAGAAGAGGTAGTGTATAGTAGAGTATAGTAGCTTACAGTAGAGTAAAGTAGAGTACAGTAGAGGTAGTGTATAGTAGAGTACAGTAGAGGTAGTGTACAGTAGAGTACAGTAGAGTACAGAAGAGGTAGTGTATAGTAGAGTATAGTAGCTTACAGTAGAGTGCAGTAGAGTACAGTAGAGTACAGTACAGTAGAGCACAGTAGAGGTAGAGTACAGTAGTGTACTGTAGAGTACAGTAGTGTACAGTAGAGTACAGTAGTGTACAGTAGAGGTAGAGTACAGTAGTGTACAGTAGAGTACAGTAGAGGTAGAGTACAGTAGTGTACTGTAGAGTACAGTAGTGTACAGTAGAGTACAGTAGTGTACAGTAGAGTACAGTAGTGTACAGTAGAGTACAGTAGAGGTAGAGTACAGTAGTGTACTGTAGAGTACAGTAGTGTACTGTAGAGTACAGTAGTGTACAGTAGAGTACAGTAGAGTACAGTAGAGTAAAGTAGAGTACAGGAGAGGTAGTGTATAGTAGAGTACAGTAGAGGTAGTGTACAGTAGAGTACAGTAGAGTACAGAAGAGGTAGTGTATAGTAGAGTATAGTAGCTTACAGTAGAGTGCAGTAGAGTACAGTAGAGTACAGTAGAGTGCAGTAGAGTACAGTACAGTAGAGCACAGTAGAGGTAGAGTACAGTAGTGTACTGTAGAGTACAGTAGTGTACAGTAGAGTACAGTAGAGGGCGCCGCTCAAACAAATCTTTCAGCTGCTGTTATTCTGGATTAAAGAACAATAGGATACAGGAGACGGAAGTTCAACACTCTTATTTCTAAATCTAATCCAGTCATTTTTTGTTTATTAGTATGGTTGAATAAGATCATTGAAGGTCAGCAGCAAAGACATTGGTTAATAAAGTGAGATTAAATACATAAAGTAAATTTGTGTAATTAATATAGTTTAATAAAAGTAATTATAATTATAATTATAAAAGTTGTGAGTAAAATTCTGAGATTGCATTTTACTGTTTATATTCATTTTGAGGAATACTGAATATTTTCGTGCAAGTGAGACGAGTAAATGTAAGTTCACATTTAGTCTAGAACTAAAATAACCATCATGTTTACACACACACACACACACACACACACCTCCTCACTTTATTTCTCTCAACATTGGGACAGGAGAGCTGTCAGTCAATAAATGTGTAAAATTAACTAGCATTACTTATTTGAAAAAGTAACTTTGATATTTTGTTGTAAATTGAAAAAGTAATATGTTACTTTGCTAATTACTTGGAAAAGTAATCTAATTACGTAACTCAAGTTACTTGTAATACGTTTCCCCCAACACTGCTCCTGCAGGGCAAAACCACATTGATCTGAGTGTGTATGAGTGTGTAATATAAAGCTTTTTTACGGCTCGGATGTTGTAGTTGGCGCAGCTCACTCACTCACTCACTCACTCACTCACTCACTCACTCACTCACTCACTCACTCACTCACTCACTCACACACACACTCACACACTCACTCACTCACTCACTCACTCACTCACTCACTCACTCACACACTCACACACTCACTCACTCACTCACACTCACTCACCCACTCACTCACACACTCACTCACTCACTCACTCACTCACTCACTCACTCACTCACACACTCACACACTCACTCACTCACACACTCACTCACTCACTCACTCACTCACTCACTCACACTCACTCACCCACTCACTCACACACTCACTCACTCACTCACTCACTCACTCACTCACTCACCCACTCACTCACTCACTCACTCACTCACTCACTCACTCACTCACTCACTCACTCACCCACTCACTCACCCACTCACACACTCACTCACTCACTCACTCACTCACTCACTCACTCACTCACTCACTCACTCACTCACACTCACTCACCCACTCACTCACCCACTCACTCACTCACTCACTCACTCACTCACTCACTCACTCACTCACCCACTCACTCACACACTCACTCACTCACTCACTCACTCACACACTCACTCACTCACTCACACTCACTCACCCACTCACTCACACACTCACTCACTCACTCACTCACTCACCCACTCACTCACTCACTCACTCACTCACTCACTCACTCACACACTCACTCACTCACTCACACACTCACCCAGTCATTCACTCACCCACTCACTCACACACTCACTCACTCACCCACTCACTCACACACTCACTCACTCACTCACTCACTCACTCACTCACTCACACACACACTCACTCACTCACTCACTCACCCACTCACTCACACACTCACTCACTCACTCACTCACTCACTCACTCACTCACTCACTCACACACACACTCACTCACTCACTCACCCACTCACTCACACACTCACTCACTCACTCACTCACTCACTCACTCACTCACTCACTCACTCACTCACTCACTCCACTCACTCACTCACTCACTCACTCACTCACACACTCACTCACTCACTCACTCACTCACTCACTCACTCACCCACTCACTCACTCACTCACTCACTCACTCACTCACTCACCCACTCACTCACTCACCCACTCACTCACTCACTCACTCACTCACTCACTCACTCACACACTCACTCACTCACTCACTCACTCACACACTCACTCACTCACTCACTCACTCACTCACTCACTCACCCACTCACTCACTCACTCACACACACACTCACTCACTCACCCACTCATTCACTCACTCACTCACCCACTCACTCACTCACTCACTCACAATCACTCACTCACTCACTCACTCACACACTCACTCACCCACTCACCCACTCACTCACTCACTCACTCACACAATCACTCACTCACTCACACACTCACTCACTCACTCACTCACTCACACACTCACTCACCCACTCACCCACTCACTCACTCACTCACTCACTCACTCACTCACTCACTCACTCACTCACTCACTCACTCACACACTCACCCACTCACTCACTCACTCACTCACTCACTCACACACTCACTCACTCACTCACACACACACTCACTCACTCACCCACTCACTCACTCACTCACTCACTCACTCACACACTCACTCACCCACTCATTCACTCACTCACTCACTCACTCACTCACTCACACACTCACTCA